GTCCTGTATGTGTCCTGTCTGTGTCCTGTATGTGTCCTGTATGTGTCCTGTATGGGTCCTGTATGGGTCCTGTATGTGTCCTGTATGTGTCCTGTATGTGTCCTGTATGTGTGTGCTGTGTGTTCTGTGAATGTGTTTCCTGTATGTGTCCTGTATGTGTCCTGTATGTGTCCTGTATGTGTCCTGTATGTGTCCTGTGTGTGTGCTGTATGTGTCCTTGCCTACCAAAAGATTGAACCATCTGATCGCTTGACGCGTCTTGACAGCCCGCCTGAGCCAATTAACAGAATTAACAGGATAAGGTGGCTTCTACCAGGTCCACCCTCCCAAGGGACGCAACTCTTAAAAACTGTCACAGTTAAATACATACAGTTATCTGCCTTCGCCCACTAGTCTCCTGGATCTAACAATTTTTATCCCACCCTTCCATATTTCTATTAAATTCACCTACATATTTTTAAATTTGTCTTCATTAAAAAAAATAATTTCAATGTATGGTTAGGCTTTTTAAGATTTAATAATTAAATTTAGCTGATATTTTAAACTCAAATGCAAAAACAGATTTAACTGGACGAAATTAAGCTAACGTTTTTATAATTGCCTGTGTGCACGATATTTTAATGCTCCCCACTCTCCCCCCCCCCCCCCACGCTCCTACCAGTTTAGCCTTTTCTGAAGCTTAAAGTATTCAGCCATTTTTGTTTACACGTCACGAATCTGAGGGTCACAAATCTTCACACACATGACGTGAACGTAGCTTACATTGTTGTATTGTGTGCTGTAATTATGGGATACACATAGCTTACATTATTGTATAGTGTGCTGTAATTATGGGATACACATAGCTTACATTGTTGTATAGTGTGCTGTAATTATGGGATGCACACAGCTTACATCTATCAGTTATCGTGTCATTTGACATAACTACATAATATGTACATTTAATATGTCAGTGATGGTGTCAGTGAGCACAAAAGCCCACATACCCTGACGATCACAGTTAAACAAGCAAATACCCTCATATATGTGCATACATACACAGACCTATAACCACATATAGCAGACACATACACACAAATTAACGTTAACAAACAGCATATCCCCTCACTGTCTATAACATCATGGTATGTCGGGATTCAACCATCTTTAAAAACACTTTAATTTTTGTTTCCGTAGAAAATAAAACCTCCGCGTCACACGACGTGCGTCACACTAGGGAAAACGGCGTCGCACAAGGGACAGCGGCGCCGTGAGTGATTTGTTGAGTGAGTTATTCACTGGGGGTCGTCTTTTAAACTAGCGCAGTGCTACGCTTTTTCGAGTTGCTTCCCATTAAGATAAAATAAAAGCGCTTTCCCTCCCAAGGGAGACAACCGATACAAATCAAAATATTCAACTCGGGGTCGCTGGCGACTATTTAGGAATGGTTTCTCTCTAACACGGCCCTTATATCTGGTGGATTATCTGCTCCTATATCTAGTGGATAATCTCCTGGTCGATTATCTCTGCTGTTATCTGATGGATAATATTTGTTCTTATTTTGGCGAATCATATCTGCTCATCATAGTCTGGTTCATTTGGTGTCCTACTTGGTGTATCTTTGCTACAGGTTGTGCTGGAGATACACAGGGATGCTAGGCTGGCCATACACAGGGGTGCTAGGCTGGCCACATAGGTGTGCTAGGCTGGCCACACAGGTGTGCTAGGCTGGCCACACAGGTGTGCTAGGCTGGCCACACAGACGGCGCGAGTATAAAAGTACTCATCTATTGGTCTCTGTATCACTAAACTTTCTCGAATATTCTTATATAACACTAAAGGGTATGAACACTCGGAAAATAGACATAACAATTAACAATTTTTAATTACTTAAACTTTTAAAAATAGAGTAGAATCTCGTAAGAGAACAACATTGCGCACCAAGTGAACAGCAATGTGTGTATAATAGTGCGAAATAATAGTATTAATACATATGCGTTTTTTTTTTAGATATCGAAATTTAGTTTATCTATCAGAAACAATACTCAAGTTATAGGCTTTTGAAAAACAAAAAGTAGAATAAGTTCCTCTTCCGGTTACCGGAAATGGCTGAAAAAAAAAGATACAGAACTACAAATTTGATACAATACTTATATATGAAATCTCATCAGCCTAGCTTTAACGGTTCTCAAGTTATCGTGTTCATAGACATACATACATATATACACACATACACTGACATACGGACAAAATTGAAAAACCGTTTTTTCGAGTCAGGGAGGTGTAAAACGTCGATTTCGATTTTTTGCACGATTACAATACTTCCTCTATACTTCGTATACAAGAAAGTAAAAAGAGAAAGAGAGAAAGAAACAAAGAAAGAAAATAGGAAAGAAACCAACTTAATTGGGTAAAAATTCACCCATGTATCTTGTTTAATTAAAGTGAAATAAATTGAAAATCCCTCAAGCTAATTGTGTGGGAGTTACTTTAGATTATTAACAAATAATCTTAATTAAATCATTTTAAAATTTGTAATTTCTTGTAAGAGAAAAAATATACCAATACCATGACCGTAGACCGTAGACTAATGTTATAAGTCAGAGCATCATGACGTCATGTTTGAATCTAAAACAACCATTGAGACGATGCACGCACGCCGTAGTGTGTTTGTGTGTCTTTTTTTTTTTCAAAATTTATTCAAATTTATTAAAAAAAAAAACGATGACAATTGTAGGCACAAAGGCATTTTTTCACATTGGCCGTTTAAACAAATGTCTAATGCACTGTGTTTCATCTGAAGACCTTTTCCATGTTTAAAACATACCAAAATAGTTCCAATGTTAAGTGTGGGAACAAAATACTTGAACAGCAGTTACAAAAATAACAATCACAACATAATGATGTCGTCATCTAGCGCCAGATTCTAGACTAGCTGGTTTAATTACCCAAGGGAAACAACCAGGGCGCCGATAAATAAGGGAGTTAAAACCAGAAATCTTTTGGTAATTTCGTTTCATGTGCTTATTGTGCCGTTGTTAACAGAAAATAAGAAGAAGAAATAAACAAGGGAATAATTAAAATCAAGAGGTTCATGTTAAAATGTTCAGAGAAATGTCGGCTAAAGCAGTCATTGGGACATGGCGAAATGATGACGTGTATTGATCTGAGCTAAATTGCCTGCTCGGTTAAATGTAATGGTCAACAAAAATAAAAATTATTTTCTTTTTTTCCGACATTTGTAAAGAAATTGATTGAAAAATATGAGGTCGACGTGGTCGAGTCGTAAAGCTCATGTCTCGAACCCTCGTTAGCTGGGGACACTCTTCTAGGAGAGACAACTCCAAAACCATACAACTGCTGCCTTGTAGTTTGCTCTTGGTTGGACAAAGGCTATGGAAGCAAGATCACACGTATACTTAATTGAGTTGGAGGGGATTCCCCCCCCCCCCCCCCCAACACTAAAATTAAGAACGAAGAAGAAGATTGAAAGATTAAATTCAATTATAGGCCTATATATATATATATATATATATATATATATATATATATATATATATATATATATATATATATATATATATATATATATATATTCCTATTTATATATATATATATATATATATGCCTATATATATATATATACAATACTTCCTCTCTCTCTCTCTCTCTCTCTCTCTATATATATATATATATATATATATATATATATATATATATATATATATATATATATATATATATATATATATATTACACTATACCCCTCTTGGGGGTGCCTATAACACGTGATACAGGTAAAGGGAGAGTCACAGTATTTTATAAAACGCCTGTCATGGGCTAACAATATAACACTGGTAAAAGTATATATTTTCTATATATCATTACATTCAGGAAGCGACAGACGTTAATGGAATGGGGGGGGGGTGGAGAACGAGATGCCTGTAAGAAACACTGGGGGGGGGGGGAGTAATCGACAGACAGAGTTTGGTTTTCCCGTTTACACAATAACCACTTCTCCATAGGGTACAGCCACATACATGGTATAAATAAATATAACCAAGTCTTTACTAGGTAGGCCCATAACTTCAAAATCGGAAACCAAGGCCTACATGAACACCCGATTTATTGTGGTATAGTAGGAACCATAGACTTAACATAAACTTCCCCCTTTCATCTCATGCACAATGCCACGTAGTATCCACCTCTACAACCCCAGTACAGAGCGTCTGTTGTTAGCGGTAGAAATGCCCCTTGAAACCGCTGTGCCACGTCCTGTTTCTTTAGCCTATGTACCTTCCGTGTCGTGACACTGTCATTAACTAGGCCAAGTGTGTTACGCCTCAATCCGGATAGTAATCCACTTGGCTTGACCTAAATTAAAATCCCCAACCGGTCTGCCTCTAACAGTAGCAGGATGCACCACTCAGAGATCTTCTCCTGTGTAAATGTGGGTTATGGGTTAGGTCATCTTCTGTGTAAATGTGGGGTCTGTGTTAGGTCATCTTCTGTGTAAATGTGGGGTCTGGGTTAGGTCATCTTCTGTGTAAATGTGGGGTCTGGGTTAGGTCATCTTCTGTGTAAATGTGGGGTCTGGGTTAGGTCATCTTCTGTGTAAATGTGGGTTATGGGTTAGGTCATCTTCTGTGTAAATGTGGGGTCTGGGTTAGGTCATCTTCTGTGTAAATGTGGGGTCTGGGTTAGGTCATCTTCTGTGTAAATGTGGGGTCTGGGTTAGGTCATCTTCTGTGTAAATGTGGGGTCTGGGTTTCCCACCATGGGCTACACGGTGTGACAGTCGACACAGTCGTCAGACATGAGATTTTAAATTAGCACCTGGCCACAGTTGATTACCTAGTCTCTCGAGATACACTGACCCCAGCTTTCCTAGTTGCTTCAGATTAGTTGGTCCTTCAATCGACCCCACCCCCCCCCCCCCCCCAAACAATGATTCAAATCAATGTGTAATAAGCTAGTCAATCACAACATACATTGACAATATTTAAAAATTAATACAGGCAATATTTTTATAAAGTGTTTATTGCTGCTTGTAAATTTCTTTCTTTCATGAAATCAGTAGAGAGAGATAGGTGAAAGGGCAAGCGTTATGTACAGTCATCTCTACATGGAGGTGGGCAGAGGACAGAGTCAGGTGATCGTCTGGTCAAATATCTTTGATGTCATCAACATGTCAGCTATCTTAACTTAAATGTCATTAACATGTCAACTATCTATACTTAAATGTCATTAACATGTCAACTATCTTTACTTAAATGTCGTCAACATGTCAACTATCTATACTTAAATGTCGTCAACATAACTATCTATACTAAAATGTCATCAACATGTCAACTATCTTTACTAAAATGTCATCAACATGTCAATTACTGTTACTTAAATGTCAATGACAAGTACTATCCTGGCATCTAAATGTCAAGTAGAGCATGTTATAGAGAGAACTATACAAGTGTGGTACAGCAGTATAGCATGAAAGTGAAGCAACAAAACCACAAAGAAACTTCCAGAAATTTCTCAGGTTTAGTTTTTCAAAAAAACTCTACACAGATTTCTAAAGGTTCAGAGATGGAAGTATCAAGCAAATAAAAAAATACAGATGTAAAGTTGAAATATGTTGGCTGAGTGAAAGAATAGTGGATTGGAATGTTTTTCGTAAAAACAAGTTTCAATGTGTGCCCATGACGATCACACGCTTTGCATAGAAATTTGTCAAGAGATAATACAAGCCTCAGCTGGTGATAAAAAGAGATTTAAAAATACATTTGGCTTAAATAACAAAGCTAAGCTTTCAAACAAGATGTAGCTCACTCCAAATCCACAGAAATCTTGTCTCAGTCAAGCAAACACAGACTTGCGGAAATAGGTGGTTTAGGTCTTATTTCTTCTATATACAATGATAAATAAAAAATGTACCTGTACAAATAATGTAAGTTGTATTATGCTGAGATATGAAAACATTTTTTAGCCATGGGGGACTCAACAAGACAAAATCCAGAATTTTGGCTGAGCATTAAATACAAGGGAAAACAAAAAGCTTATCATTAGCGTGTAGCGTATAATCATTATGTGCTATTCGTACATCTCTCACAGCTACACATCATAAACAGAGTGTAAAAGAACATCTACACATAAACAGAGTGTAACACCAAGAAGGTGATGTAATCACAGAAGTAAGGAATTTTTTTTTCTAGTACGTAAAAATATCTCTCAAAATAGAACTGATGCTACCAGAGTAAAAATCTTTTATCACAAAAGTCAAGTATGTCTCCACTAGGAATTTTTTTTAAAATAAGTGGTATCACTTCATTTAGACAAAACAATACACGATTCAATTGTAAAATAAAGTTTTAGATAAAAGGAAATATAAATTAGAATCTAATTAATTATGATAATTATTATCTTGAAAGAAATGTATATGATAAAAAAGAAATTAAACTTAATAAGAAGGCCTAAAAGACTATTTACATTTGATTACTTCAAAATTAACTTTTTCTAAATTCGGATTAAAAACTCTAAAGTTTAAGATTTACAGGTTTAAAAATAATGTTACCCTAAATATCTTGCATCAGATTCTAAATGAAAATTAAGTAGCAAAAGATGTCAAATTAACATAATAAGAGGCTCAATTACAATTAAAAACATTTGACATTGAACGTAAGTTGAACCAGTGCATCTAAAAGTAAGCACTCTAAGCTACACAATTAAACTTGTACAATAAATCTTTACAGCCAAGCACATACATAAGTGTGGCTAACTACAGCTGCAGAACAGAGCAGCTACAATAAACCAGAATTACAAGGCCAATTTTACATCACAAGCGTAATGGTGTATGTACCACATCTCTCACACGTACCCATGTGAAAAACATAAAAATCTTAACATGCAAGGCATTTGAAATAAAATTCAGGATCAATGACATTTACAAATGAACAGTGGAACACTTGATTCTAGTTTAAACTTTGAGGCAATTAGAGATTTGTAAATATACACGACAACTGTACAACAGCAGCCTGTTCGATGTAACATGAATAATTTATCTTTCTTAAGATTAGATTTGATTTTCATGTAACAAAAGTGCGTAGAAAACAGTTCTGTTTAAACCAAAACAAGTTGTATTGGCTGAAGGTCAACAGAGCAGTTGTACAGACAACAGACCCATGACACTTCAAACACTTCCTGATGAAATGAGAAGTGAAACATCTTGATACTTGAGTGAAGGCAAGTTTTGTACAGATCTACATTCTGAGGTGGGTGACCACCACACATGGTTCTTGTTTCCATGAGGGAGGGCATCACATCCACTAGTGCCAGTTGTTGGATTTGGGGCCAAACTTGAAACAAAGTTTTTTAGGGTAGTTTTTATCTTTAGGGAGTTCAGAGAAATAACCCTCTAACCGTGAATACCTGGAGAGAAAAAAAAACATTAAAATATCAGCATTTAGTGAGAAATTTAAAAACTGTTCTAACTGTACACTAATTAATGAATAACTGATAAATAAATAATTAAGACAAAAAGTACCTGAGTGATCTGCTTAATTTTTCATATGTCATCTTCTTCTTGTTTTTCTTCTTCTCTCCCCACAAGCGAGCAACCTCAGTGGAGTTGACCACACGGAAAACTCCCTCTGGCTTGGAGACCCATTCAATAATTCCATGGCTGTGTGGACTCCTCAGGAGGTCTCTCATGAACTCCCACAGATGAAGCACATTTGAAACTGCAAACAAGGAATTTCAGTATCAGAACTACCCACAAGAAATACAAATTTACAAGACGCTTATGGTAAAGAAGTAACCTACCACCTAAATGAACACCTAAACAAATGAAGGAAGTTTCAGGGTCAGACCACTCTGTTTTATTGAAGATAAAATCTTACCTTGGCCAGGTTTCCTGCCAGGCTTACGTCTCTCTTTTTCGATGGTCGACGGAGAATCTCTGGAAATTTGTCTTTCCTTTTTCTTAAAGCTGGACATAGAAACGTGACTACCTGGGTTTCTCACAGGGGGTTCTGAAAGAGGCTATAACAGAAAAAAAACAACAAAAGTTTAAACAAACTGAACTAGACAGCCTAAAGTGTTATTTACCGTATATTTCAATAAACTGAATTAAATTAGCACATAGCTAATTGGCACATAACAAACCTGAAGTTGTCTGAAGTCCGGCAAGTGGTCTTCTGGAAGTGCAGGCTCATCAAAGCCCTCGTCTGAACATGGAGATCCATCAAAGCTTGTATCCCACTGAGGCTGTTTGCAGCTTTCTAGCGTCTGTCTAAAACAAATTTCATGGTGTGCTGTTTCAACTGTACTTTCATATCCATCTGGAGAAAATAAAAATCATTTTTTAAATATTTATTTTGAGCTGATTCTGTGTTTAAATCTGGCAAATAAAAATAGTAGCAAAGTTAAGCAGTCAATTCAGAAAACATTTTAAGAAATGCTTTTAACTTTATGTTATCAAATTGAGCTAGAACCATAAAACTAATCACAACCCCTGCCATGATTTTATGAGTGATAATCTGAGGCCTATTAATAACGTAAACCTAACTTTAGGGAATAGGCTAAATGTTCCTGTGACTGATTTGTAGAGTAAGAAATTTTGTTGGAATTCTGAATTGACTTGAATAATAACAAAAACATAGGCCAACTTAAAATTTAGGCTAAATTATAGGCCTAGGTTTAGGCCAATTTTATTTAAATAGCTTAGTTGAGTAACTTAGGCTACAACCTCTGACAGTAATATCATTAATATGAATCGATAGCAGACCTACAATAAAACAAAAAATTAGTCCTAGGCCTAACTGAAAAAGTTTAAACTTTAAACAGAGTTAGGCCCTAAGGCCAAAGATTTTAAATAGGATAGGCTTACTTTATTGCCTAGAAACAAAATGTGTAGCCTAATATTACTAAATTCTCAGTCAATAGTCCTACTAACCACTGTCTAGAATCACTAGATCTACAAGTAATACAGTTAGGCCTAATAAAAATAAATATTAGGCTTACTTTTAGGCCTAAGGGTAGGTTTTTCGATTCGTGAAATCTCGTTCTCGCGGTTTTGAAGCACCCGTGTTTTGGGCGGCCATATAAAATATCGAATCATTTCTTTCTCATGAAGTACATGATAGTTAAAACTAAGGATTGTATCGTAATCGGATAGATTTTCACTCGAAACTGCCCATGTATTTACGGGGCGAATAATTAACATTTTAATAATGGCAGCTTGACCTAATTTCTTTATTTGTATTTAACGAGGCAGTCGAGAGAAAGTCACGCTGACCTAGCTTGCGTTTCAAGTCGAATAAACTAAAAGCAGGTGCGTTCTACAATAACTTTATTGTAATATACAATTTGTATATCATCTTTACTATCAAATAAAAATAGAATTGTTTAATATAATTAGGGTGGAAACAATGCTTTTGAGGGTGTAAGTAATAATGCCATTTTATTATATTCTTGTTTGGTGAAAACGAGGCGCGGGAAAATGTGTGCCGCGCAAGAATCCAATCATTTGGCTAGATTTATGACTGTTTTTTATGTCATACCTAAAAATAGAATGTTTACGCTTTCTTCGTTGATGATCGTTTTTATTATTTTTTAAATTGAAAGTATGAATTATTAGTTAGATTGCGGATTTTGTAACTTGGTATACTTACCTTTTATCAATTTAAAAAACATAGCATGCTAATTGTGAACAAATATAGTCATAAAACACAGAAATATAAAGTTATAATTGCGATGTGCCACACCCGGGCCACACCCCCTCAAGAAAGCATGTGTTTATTAAGCTGTTTATCTCACTTTACAACAGTAATTAAAATTAATTTTCAAATTTTTATCACTTATTGGGTAAGATTAAGCACATGTTTACCAAAAATAAAAATAAAACAAAAGCAAATTCTGTTTTAATGAAGGTCACGGGTGAAGTTTTTTTTTCCTTCTGTCACGTTCAGTGGAGGGTGCCACAGGCTGACCTGACTTTGGAATTTTTTTCAGTAATAAGGACTTTGCACAGAAAGTTAAAATATGCTAAATTAGCTTAGTTTACTAGTGTTCTAGCTATTATTGATACATTTTTAATAAAAAAATCATTCTGTAATTCTCATCAAACAGCCTACCTAAGGGTCTTTAAAATTTAAAAGTAGGCCTAGAGAAATCTATCTAGGCCTACAAATTGTTTTTTTTTTTAAATTAAAAAAAAAGTTAAGAGAAGGATCAAATGCTGGTGGCTGTAGAGTCTAGAGACCTGGTAACTGATGTTACTAAAATATGTTTATTTCAATTACATAATAAAGGTCATCCACATATGTCGGCCACTCCCTTTATTAATAGTACAGTACTGCTACGCTTAACTTTTTAACAGGGCGACACACTTCCTGCTTCGGTACGGGTGAATAATTGTGTCAGCTAAACTACGTAAAATGAAATTGTATTTTACCTCTGAAGTAACTATTTTGATTCAAAGAGTCCGATTGTATTTTTTTACTTTCGATTCTTAAATCTAAGGGCTCTGGACAACATGAACACATGTTGTAGCCTGTCATACATTATTCGACTTATACATAACAGGAGATGACGAGTGTGTTGATGAAAAAGATTGTAGGGGAGACTACTCTAAAATATATGTATTACAAATAAACACACACATACCCGAAAATTACCGAACATAATAATTTAGAAAGTTCAAACTTTTAAACAGCCAAGGCAAAATTAAAATCGATACTCAATTTTATTTCCGTCGATATAGAAGATCTATAACTAGATCTATATGCAACTCATCCTACTTGCTAGAAATTAGAAATTGTTTCTCTGTTTGGACATCATTCATTTTTACATAGAATGATAGGCCCTGCTGGCATATAGAAATGAATGTCCTAACAAACAAGCCTAACGAAAATTCTAAATAACTTAAATAGACCAGAATCATTTGAGCCTGAATTTTTGAATAGTTAACTTAGATGTAGAAATCTAGAATAAGCAATAGTATCTCTATAACTTTAAATCCAAATATTAGATATAAATATTTCTTAAAGTCAAATAATAAGCTAAATGCTTTTAAATTATAAATTTAATAACTGATTACTGGTGGTCAATATTATTGAATAAATATAACTGGCTCTACTATATATACATTAGCAAGACATAGTAATTTCAAGAATGTTCAATCAATTATTAAATATTTTTTAAATATAGTTCTCAAATTATTACTTGGTAAGGCCTATAATTATTTTTAAAAACTTCTTAAGCAGGGTTTTTTTGGGGAGCACTTAAATTAAATATTCTTATTATTTTGCTAGCTATCGGTAATATTTTACAATCAATACTTTATAAGTTAATATTTTATAAAGCAATATTTTATATGATCTGTGTCTTTCAAGTTTGTTGATTTATGGTTTTAATACATTAGGTGTTTATAATTAATATGATATATTCTAAATTTAAAGTTATTTAATATCCTGATTGATTACTTGTAGTCATTAAGAGATTTAAACTAATAAACAGCGGCAATTTGATTGCAATTTACAGTTGATCCTAATTTATGTGTTATCAGAAAAAGAAGTTAACTTTTTATTCTTTTAGATCTATATAATTTATGGATAGATATTGCCGTAATCAGTTTTTATTATTGAATAAAGTGTTATAATTTTGTTTATTTAACAACCTTAATTTTGTGCATGTAAATTTTCTTAAATCAACGTTTGTGTTTATGACTTTTTGGACTTAAAGCTCATAACTATTAGGTCTGCTGGGTAACTTACGCAGAAGAGGATAGCTTTGAATCAATAGAACTAATTTAGACAATAATTAAATCGTTGATCAGCCAGTGGAATGATAGTTTCCTGACACAAAAGTTAATATTATGCTTTCTTGATACTCAAAGCAAATGTTTTGGGACAGGTGAAGAAGATTTTTTTATGTTTCTGTGACATTTAAAAACCTGTAACTCCAGTGCTCCTATTTTGACATCATTTCACATAAAAGTTTAAAAGCTGTTTAGTGTTTAGACATAAGTCTACAATAAAAGTTAGCATCAAGCTTCAGGCAATGAAGACCTACAAAGGAAAGTTTAAAATGGTTTGACATACCTGATCCTGGGCTGGGGGTTTGATATTCATCTGGGTATATGCTTGTTATGTCATAAAACGGTCTGTCATCTGTTATGTCTGGGGATAGGAAAACATGTTGTTGTACCTGCTAACCTAACATTTTATCTGGACAACTAATGTAATGTTAGACATACTGTTCAAACAATGGCATGATTATCACTTCTAAATGTTTTCATGAGACTGAGCAATGAAACTTTTGTGTGCAGTGCTTATTGTAGGTGAGAATTTGAGTAGACTGTACTCAGTGGAGAGAGATAAACTCTACTTCATCTGCCATGATAACAGTACAGCTAGAATGGTGAATATTCTTCTTTTTACAATTCTTTGATACACTTGGTGTGAAACATAATACAAATACCTAGAGTGTAGTCTTCTAATTTTAAACCCTCCCCTTCATAAACAATTTAAGCAGTCATTAAAAATGAATACTTAATATATTAATTTTTTTTTTAATTAAGCTCATCGCCAGTACCATTTGACATAAAGATTTATGGGACTGAGAATTATGGTAGAGAGCTGGACCGCTAAGCAGAAAATCTCGAGTTTGAATCCGGGTTCAAGTCAGTAGACTGTCCCTGAGTCCACCCAACTCTGATGGGTACCTAACTCACGTTAGGGAAAGCAAAGGAGGCTGGGCATAGTGCTGACCACACTATCCCTTTGTATGCAGAGAACATAGAAACAAGTGAACTCTACTTCACTTGCCCCATAGACCGTCAGGTTTAAAAGGGAACTTTACTACTTACTATGTAAAGAATTGCCATGTAAAGAATTGCCATGTAAAGAATTGCCATGTAAAGAATAGCCACTAAAAGAATTGACTTACGATTTAAGGGATTGAGCTCTATGAACTGAACACTCTCATCCTCTGTGCTGCTGTAGCTGCTGCCACTGATGCTGTCAGTGTTGAGGTCCTCCTCCTCTTCTGGGTAGTTGTAGGGGAAAAGCTGGGGGTCATTGTAGCTGCCCTTGTTGACGTAAAGCAATGTCTGTACTGGGGGCAGGAGGTTGTAGCAATGTCCTTCCATTTGGGGGTTGGTGTGGGTACTGTGGGGGGTGTTGTTGAGGCTGGGACTGTCGCTGTTTTCCAGAAAGTTATATGGGTCGAGGTCTCGAAGGTCAGAAGAGATGTTGTCGCAGTTGATGTAAGCACTGTTGTTGTTGTTGTTACAGTCTACTGCGGCTGTGAGCTCAGGGCTGTGCAGGAATGTTGTGCAGTTTTGGATGTAGGAGAAGTTGAAGTTGGACTGCTGGGGCGCAACTTCTGGGACAGAGTCTAGTGAACACAAGGCAGGGCTGAGTAATGTTTCTGATGATGAGAACGATGACGAGGATGACAGTGATGATATCGACGATGACGATAATGTCCTCGGGTGGTTCCTGTATTCCAGGAAATGTGTTGTGTTTTCGTTTAACATACAATCTCTGTTGCGTAGATTGAGTCTATCTACGCTCTGAAAGCAGGACGGCTGTAGGCATTGATTCTCCTGAGACGAGGTCCTTTGTCTGCTGAAATTACTGGAAGACTGCTGCGGCAATGAGGCTGAGAAGAATGTCGCATCTAAGTCTGCAATCGCTGCTTGTTGGATGGAAGTCTGAAAATTAAACGTTAATCAATGTTGATTGGAAGTTGTTTAAAAAAATTCGTTAAAAAATATATCAAGGGAAACAACCACTTTATTTTTTTTAAATTACTACGGTTACTTCCCCTTGATCGCTTTTTTTTCTCAGTCCTCCCTGCTTGAGTTTAGTGTAACTGCTCTTTAATACAAGGCATTGGATCATTAAAATACGAATAAAATATAACTATTACAATTTGTTACATTCAACTTCTGATTCATAATTATACTTTTATTAAAACAGTTTTAAAATAAAACAAGTTATATTGTTTACATGTAAAAATTACTTACGAATTAAATTACATTAACATATTTATTTATAGTTTTTGTTTATTGTATTATCAGTACTGATAAATACTTTAAATCTATTGAACACATCGAATAATAAATTACTTGTAGTAAACAAACGCGATAAAAAAACGAAAGCAAACAACGCGGCTCACCAGAATACGTACCGAGGCCACACTGTTGTCTGTGCGAATATTTGTAAACACGAACACTACTACAACAACACGCAGCCCTTCATTGTCATGCTAAGGTTTACATAATTACTAGCACCAGCTCCGTGAATTCGGCGAGACAAACACACAGACTACACCATACAATTTCTATCGCCCAGCCTACGATTTGTTTGGTATAACAATAGCAGAAAGCCAAACACAATCCTGTTTGCGGTAATCTTCAAGTGAATGCGGGACGGCATAGATTGAATAATATTGCGCACGGAGGGGCGCACCGTGCTAGCACATAGCGGGGAGACAGTCCCCAGCAATGCATACAAGGCTTGTGAATGAATCAACTCGAGTTACCTAACTTGCTAAGGCCAGTTGCTGTCGCCGTGCTACGCGATAATCGCCCTTTATTTTTCTTTTCAATCCTTTCGTTTACAAAAGAAAAATATAAATTTACCTGTGCTGAGAAATGTAGCCGACAAAAATAAAGATATTAAGTTGTGAAATATAAGAAAAAAAAATGAACATGAGATTTTAGAAATGGTAAATTAAATTTTAACACGCAATGTTGGACTCGAGTACAAGATCTAACGATACCTCATGTCCTAGATAAGACTAGACTAGTGTTTATATCCGTAGTTTAAGAGGCTCGCATATTGCTGTTGGCGCAGGCAAACGTGGACTAAGTCCAGAGCGCGTTAAAACAATGACATCATGCGGCGTTAAATTAATTAATGAGAATTAAGTTTAAAAAAAAACAAAAGATGGTTGCATACCATTGTTGATGAAGTTGTGGTTTAATTAATCCATGCACAGGTGACTAATAAAATATGTGTCCGTTTGGTCGTGGTGGCATGGGTCAGTGCTAGAAGATGTGCCGATAATGTTCAACTAAAAAGTTGTTGCAGTGGGCGAGAGTTTTTATCAGCACCACAACACTGCATGGGAAAACCTACTGCATTCACGATTGCGTGAAAATAAAGTCGCGCCGGATTGGGCCAGGGGAGGGCTATTAATAGCTACCAAAATCCCATTTTAATTTTAGTTTAGGGAATACCAACACGACGAGGGGGGAGAGAAATAAATTTGGGGGAAGGTGGTGGAGGCTTTGAGTTTTTGAGACGTGTGAGGTTTCGGGGTGGGTGCTTGTTATTTGGGGGAGGGTGTTGGGGGGGGGTGCTAGAGTAGGGTGGTTGGGCAGGGTGGTTGGGTAGGGTGGTTGGGGCATGTCAACAGTTGTACAAGAGAGCCGTGTGGTACTTGATGCACATGACCGTCTCTGTCGCCAGGGGGATCGCGATATTTTTTGACTGCTGGAACTGTTGCTTCACACAGCTCCTTAAACACCGTACGCCATACGTAGGTCACAGCGAGCCATTCAAGTCATGGACGCTTAATGGACTTGTCTCTGTACATACTAGTAACGTATTGTATTGTATGTGTGCATGACACAACACTTGCAGTGAGAAGACAGCAACGGTTGTCAGGGTCTTTCATATAAACACTTGTTGCTAAACATTTCGACATTTTCTCGATAAAAGAGTTACACAATACTCTTGTAAAAGCACTGCAACCAAAAATGATGAGGGTGGGATGAGAGAGGTTGAGGGGTGGGGTGGAAAGAGGGGGAGGGGCTTGAAAAAATTAACACAAAACCATGAGGAGCAAACAACTATCAAGTGATTGACCTCTTCGTTAATTAGCACCACGCTTAGTTGTTGAAGTGTTTTATTTTTCGAGGAAATTCATTTAAAAAATGTATAATAATATTATCCTTGATATTGAGCGGGTCAGGACACCGACAAGTTGTCTAAACACCGTCAAAAACCAGACCAAAAATTACTTGACACGAATTTGTACGACATTTTTATATTATTACCTGCGCTTTGACCAATCATTAGATATTTTCTAACATTGCACCAACAGATACAAATCCTATTATTTGTTGTCTTTTTGAGAAAATACCTTTCTAACAATGTGATAACTGATTGAGAAAATATCTTTCTAACAATGTGATACCTGATTGAGAAAATACCCTTCTAACAATGTTAGAACTGATTGAGAAAATACCTTTCTAACAATGTTAGAACTGATTGAGAAAATACCTTTCTAACAATGTGATAACTGATTGAGAAAATACCTTTCTAACAATGTGATAACTGATTGAGAAAATACCTTTCTAACAATGTGATAACTGATTGAGAAAATACCTTTCTAACAATGTGATAACTGATTGAGAAAATACCTTTCTAACAATGTGATAACTGATTGAGAAAATACCTTTCTAACAATGGGATAACTGATTGAGAAAATACCTTTCTAACAATGGGATAACTGATTGAGAAAATACCTTTCTAACAATGGGATAACTGATTGAGAAAATACCTTTCTAACAATGTGATAACTGATTGAGAAAATACCTTTCTAACAATGTGATAACTTGTGGGACGTGAATGTAGCTGTAAGCCTACAATTGACACTAGGACACACGGACGAGCGGTCAGGACTTTTCTCGTGTGCACGTCTAGCTCACCCTTGGACTTCGCAAGCTGGCGGCCTAATATGGGACAATAGGGGTCGGAATATGGCGGCCTAATATGGGACAGTAGGGGTCGCAAGATGGCGGCCTAATATGGGACAGTAGGGGTCGGAATATGGCGGCCTAATATGGGACAGTAGGGGTCGCAAGATGGCAGACTAATATGGGACAGTACGGGTCGCAAGATAGCAGACTAATATGGGACAGTACGGGTCGCAAGATGGCAGACTAATATGGGACAGTAGGGGTCGCAAGATGGCAGACTAATATGGGACAGTAGGGGTCGCAAGATGGCAGACTAATATGGGACAATAGGGGTCGCAAGATGGCGGTCTAATATGGGACAATAGGGGTCGCAAGATGGCGGCCTAATATGGGACAATAGGGGTCGCAAGATGGCGGCCTAATATGGGACAATAGGGGTCGCAAGATGGCGGCCTAATATGGGACAATAGGGGTCGCAAGATGGCGGTCTAATATGGGACAATAGGGGTCGCAAGATGGCGGTCTAATATGGGACAATAGTGGTCGCAAGATGGCGGCCTAATATGGGACAATAGGGGTCGCAAGATGGCGGCCTAATATGGGACAATAGGGGTCGCAAGATGGCGGCCTAATATGGGACAACAGGGGTCGCAAGATGGCGGCCTAATATGGGACAGTAGGGGTCGCAAGATGGCGGCCTAATATGAGACAGTATGGGTCGCAAGATGGCGGCCTAATATGGGAAATTATAATATGGGAATATAATGGCCTAATTTGGGACAACAGAGGTCGCAAGATGGCGGCCTAATATGGGACAGTAGGGGTCGCAAGATGGCGGCCTAATATGGGACAGTAGGGGTCGCAAGATGGCGGCCTAATATGGGACAGTAGGGGTCGCAAGATGGCGGCCTAATATGGGAAATTATAATATGGGAATATAATGGCCTAATTTGGGACAACAGGGGTCGCAAGATGGCGGCCTAATATTGGACAGTAGGGGTCGCAAGATGGCGGCCTAATATGGGACAGTAGGGGTCGCAAGATGGCGGCCTAATATGGGACAGTATGGGTCGCAAGATGGCGGCCTAATATGGGAAATTATAATATGGGAATATAATGGCCTAATTTGGGACAATAGGGGTCGGAGGATGGTGAATATGAATGACACAATGTGGGTCGCAAATAGGCGGCCAAACATAGGAGAATAGGGGTCCCAATATGACAATGTGATAGCCTAGCATTATGTTAGCCTAGCAGTATAATAGCCTAACAGTGCGATGTCCTAGCAAAGTGCCTACTGGCGCCTTTGATTTCAGTAGTAGTGTAGCACTATTACAGATAGCACAGTCTAGTGCCCTCTTTAAATGTAGCCTATATCTCTACTTCAATCATGTCGAGCTGTTTAGAGGTGAAGCACTGCCTAAAACGTGAAAGTTTTGCTAAGCTAAACTATGTAACGATTAAAAATATTAAAAGGAAATATAGCCCATTCTAGTATCCCCTTTACATGTATATTTGTACTATAAATCATGTTAAACTATTAAGAGATGTGGGGGCGGCGTGGTCGAACGGTTTGATTGCTGACCAGAAGGTTGCGAGTTCGGATCTCGGTACTGGTGACTGTAAGACGTCACATAGTGCTGAGGTCAAGAAACATCTACCCAATAAAAGAGGAATCTATACTTACTTTACTATTAAGATTTGTAACACTATAAAAATATTTTTTTTTTATAAACCTCGTTTGTGAATTACATAGGACACCAAAAAGTCGCTATTTTAATGTCAAGCATTTGCCTAAATTAGTCTTCTGCCCTCTGTCAGCTATATATGAGTCATCTGCCCTCTGTCAGCTTTATACAAGTCATCTGCCATCTGTCAGCTACACACAGGGCACCGCACTGGCAGACACAGAGACGTAAACTGATTTGGTTATGTCAGTCAGACATAAATAACAGACTTTTGTCCGACTATCAGAGAAGTGTAGACAAACGTGTGTACCTTCGTCGTCGATGAGCAGCATACACTAACAGCATACACTAGCAGCATACACTAACAGCATGCACTAGCAGCATACACGATCAGCATACACTCATACACCAAAATGTTATACTAAAAAACGTAGCACAACATGCTTACATTAACCTGAACGGTACACATTACTCACATACAACACACCACGGAAACCTGTATACTTCAGGCTACATCAAATAATGAAGCCCCTAATCACCGCGGTAACTGTTTATTAGTGTGTCTTTCATTCACTCAACTTTACCAGTCAACAAATATGGCTGTGAACGGGACTCGATATTAACCTTACTACAATTCAATAAAATCTAAATAATATATCGTCCAGTTTCGTTGTTGTATTGCGCTACCATAAAAATTCATAAATTTCTTTTCCACACAACAATATTGAGCATCTAAGAAAGTTTTTGTATTAAAGAAGGCACCAATGCCATAACAATAACGCTCTACTTACAGAAGTTGTTCCCTGGAGGGTCTATTTGATCGGCGTGTCGGCTCGTGAAATCAACTGGACGACAAACAACGGTGTACATCCTTAACAGATGCAGACCATAGCGTGTTCGCTGGCCCACGTGACACAGACGACCAGTGTAAACAGACATGAAGAGTGCGACACGGATATACAGCACTTCATCAAAACATCAGGCACAGCCACTGCTTATTGGATTTGCCCTCACAACTAACAGTGTTTTTAAACATTGGATTTGCCCTCAAATTAACCGTGTTTTTAAACATTGGATTTGCCCTCAAATTAACAGCGTTTTTAAACATTGGAT